TGCGCAAAGAGCCATGCTATCCCGATGGGGAGAGGTGGACAAGAGGCCAGAGTGGCAGAAAGATATTTGGACTGTTGAGTTTTCTCTGAACATTCTTTCTTCGTGTCGATTTTATTTAGAAACTTGGTTCCACTCTATCTCAAATAGTAAATCTTTGGCTCATGAAATAGAGCAAGGGGCTGAGAGTGCTTCCCTATTGTGGGACTATGAAATACAGTGCAGTGCTTTCAAGGGAGAAGAAAATGTAAGAGTATTCAACACAGAAGAAAACCGCATGAGATCCACCCATCAGCCTGACATCACACACCGAGAAGAAAAGCCTGGGATGGAGTCCAAGTGCTCAGAGGATCTAGCTAAAGTGTTTGAGTGGATTCCTCTTTCAGATAGTTGCCTGGTTCCATGCTTTGAGATAACAGATTCTGATCTTATAAGGATACAGTAGAGATTTTTCACTCAAAGTTCAATGAATATAAAATTATAATAACTTATTTTGTGTAGTAGGAAATCTTTGCAGATCAGCATAGCAAAGCTGGTCCTGTTTATTATGTAAGGATTTATAAAAAGGGGGGCATTAGGCAGCACCTATGAGAGAAGTTGTTCCAGGGTCACCGGAAGAGAATAATGACACTTTCTCCCATTCCCAACATTTAACATGCACAATTTTGAGAATCTCAACTTATCCTAGATCCTCACAGTCACTAAATTAGAGAGGCATCAGGTGACTTAGCAACACATTCCAACTAGGATGGGCGGACAGAACTGCCTGATGCCCTGTGCTCAGTAAATGTTTAAGTCTATGTCCAGGCACCATAAGCTTCATTATTAATGTCTGTTAAGAGAAAGGGAAAGGATAGGAGCTCCACAAGGACCAAATATATCTGGGCACAGGGTCTTTTCTGAGACTGACATTCAACCAAGGACCATGTATGGATATAACCTAGAACCTCTGCTCAGATGTAGCCTGTGGTAGCTCAGTAACCAATTGGTTTCCCATAGTAAGGGGAACAAGGACTATTTCTGACAGGAACTCAATGGCTGGCTCTTTGACCTCCCCACCCCCGAGGGGAGGAGCAGTCAGTCGTAGGCCATAGAGGAGGACTTTGCAGCCAGTCCTGAAGATACCTGATAAAACAGGATCAGATGAATGGGGAGGAGGTCCTCTCCAATTAGTGGACTTGGAAAGGGGCACGGTGGAGATGAGGGAGGGAGGGTGGGATTGGGAGGGAATGAGGGAGCGGGATACAGCTTGGATACAGAGTTAATAAAATGTAACTGATAAGAAAATAATAAAATTTAAAAAAAAAAAGAGAAAGGGAGATTGTACCACTGCCAGCAGCAGCAGCAGCAGCAGCAGCAGCAGCAGCAGCAGCAGCAGCAGCAGCAGCAGGACTTTGTCAGTGCTATATCTAGCTATGTAGTACCTAGCATCTTATATGAATTTATCTGGTAACCTTCCTAGATCTTGAAAGCAGAGGCAAGGGGCCTGGTGATAGCTTACTCATTAAATGCCTTTTTTTTTTTTAATAAGCATAGAGGTATGAGTTTATTGGCCAAAGCCTATATTTAAAAACAAAACCTTGGCAGAGTTGGGGGAGGTGGAAGATTATGATCAAATATATATTTAATGAATATTTTAAAAATTAACTTAAAAACTAAAACAAGTCAAGTGAGGAATCCAATATACATGGTTTCAGTTCATTTTTAAAATTCTTAAACATCGAAGGTACACAAGGGTCTTGGCTATGTAGCAGCAGACCACTGCACACTCTGTGCGCAGGTTCAGGCTCTGCCATGCACTCACTGGACCTGAGTACATGGTAAGTACCCCTGAGTCAGATGTATTTCCTATAGCAACTTCTGCCTCCTGGCTTCTCTTACCTCTTGCTGCTCCTCCTTCTTTGTATTTTTCCACCTTGTATTGTAGATAGATTTTTCTCTCACATAATATATCCTGAGTATGGATTTCCCTCCCTCCATGCCTCCCAGTTCCTTCCCGCCTCCCCTCCCATCTGGATCCATTCCCTTCCTATCTCTCATTAGAAAACAAAGCTTTCAGGGAAGACGTCTTTTTCACCTCCTTTAGACTGTCTTGAGATATGACTATAATTAACTTGTGAATTCTTGCTTTACTTTCTACATGAGAAAGCAGAATTATCTGTTAAACTAGATCACAAATTTTTCTGTTAAGGGAAGTTCATGATCCATCTTTGTGTCTACCTTCAAGACCTAAAAACATATTTAAGTTGAGCCTCAAGACATTGCCTAAGGTTGATCACATTGGGTCTGTAATAAAAGGTAATTTTATGATTAAACTTACTAACAACTGTTCAGAAACAATTATAGAGTCAATAAGGCTGTATTTCAAACTTTTAAATCTTATATGTATATAAATATATAATCTATTCACATCGCTATGCAGAAATATTATATGTATAGAATGATAAAATCCTTCAGAATTGAGTTTTGGGTTTGATTGTTTTAATTATCTAGGTATAGCCAATTAGCCTAAAATTGCTATATTACTGAGGCTCTCCTCACTGCTCCTGAAGAGTTTTAATTTTTTTCTTTTTTTTTTTAAATTTTATTTTTTTCTTATCAGTTACATTTTATTAACTCTGTATCCCAGCTGTATCCTGCTCCCTCATTCCCTCCCAATTCCACCCTCCCTCCCTCATCTCCACCCTGCCCTTTTCCAAGTCCACTGATAGGGGGGACCTCCTTCCCATTCATCTGATCCTGTTTTATCAGGTATGTTCAGGACTGGCTGCAAAGTCCTCCTCTGTGGCCTAACAGGACTGACTGCTCCTCCCTTGGGGGGTGGGGAGATCAAAGAGCCAGCCATTGAGTTCCTGTTAGAAATAGTCCCTGCTCCCCTCACTATGGGAAACCAGTTGGTTACTGAGCTACCACGGGCAAGTTTTAATTTTTCTGAGTAAACTCCCAGCTTCTAGAAAGTGTCAATCCAGTAGGCTTCCAGACATGAGTTTTTAAAACAGAAAAGAACATGACCACATTTCCCCACCATACAAATGGCTTTAACCAAGATACCATTATGAATTACTTTCTCATTATTAAGTTATTTTTCTGGTGCTATACACCGTTTGATAAAATTACCCTGTCTAATAACATTAGTAGTGGGTAATCTTTCTTTTGGGTGCTTACAATATGCCAGACGTTGTTCTCGGCACTTCATGTCTGTTGCCTCTTCCTGATCTCGTCTCGCTCCTTTGAGGTAGGTAATATTATTATCTTCATGTTTCAGATAAGGAAATGGAGGCATCCAGAGCTAGTCATTTGCTGCAAATCACACTACTCACAATGAATGAGGAGCTGGCTGACAGATCCAGCTATTGTGGCTTCAGTCCTTTCAAGGACCACAGAGGCTCTCACCAACAGGAATGTATGTGCCTTAGAAATTAGAATGCCTTAAAAATTCACCGGCTTTGTGAAATAAATAGTATCTGGGGAGTACTGCATGATTTAAAGTTACGGACTCAGAAAGGTGCCTAAGGTTTAAAGGTGGAAGCTTACTACTCTTGTAAAAAGCTCAAAATAATTTTGAGTTGTATCACCTCAATATCATACACTATAGATAATTTATAAAAAAAAAAACCTATAGTACATCTTATTAAGAGGTCTTTATTAGACAAGTCTATTATGTATTTGGTTTTGAGTGAATACATGAGTTAGACTTCATATTAAATGGCTCACAAAGGCTATCTATGGTTAGACACTTTGTCCCAAGCCTGTGGTACCACAGAGAAGACACAGAATGTTTAGCTGGAGTATGGGAGGGAGTTTGGTCATTAGAGGTTTGCCCCCGATGGGGATATAGGAAACTTGAGTGAACTCTCATGTGTTTCTACAGCATTGTTTTAACTCATTACAAACACAAAAACAACAGGGTCAAGAGACCGTTGACACCATGACCTGAAGTAAATCTTTCCTATTTAAACTTATTTATCTTAATTGTTTTGTCTCAGCTAGGGAAAGCTGGTACACATAGCATGAAAATGCACTGGAATAACTGTGGTTACTGTTACTGTTTCTTTTCTATACTGAATCTGTTTTTTAGCATATATGTCTGTTAATTGTTTTATACTTTAAAACTATCAATTTATAAAAAAGTTACATAGATAAGCTGATTACATGGACACAGTACTCAACAACTTGATATATATGTAATATATAAACAAATATGAATATATTTACTGTATATAACATATAAGTAGTATGTATATAATATACTTAGTAAAATAATTTGTCTTAACTTATACATACATATGTTTGTACAATTAAAATGTATATATATTGCTATAATGAAATAGCCCACGGTGGCATTCGCTGAGTTTGAATGAAAAGCACTCACTGTCTTTCACAAATCAGCATTAAAGAATGACAAAATATCAGTTGGGGGCTCAGGATCATAGATTTTTGCTTTAAATTTTGAGCCTTAGTTGTATTGACAGAAAAAAATAGGGCAGTTAAATTGGGTTACTTTATGTTGCACAAACATTATTTTCTGCAAGTATTATGCAAGCAAGATTGCAGATGTCTAGCCAAGATTTTTAAGAAATGCAGCTTTGCTTCTAAGCCAGGCACAGCCCACTCACCTGGAAGCTACCCTCTACCCTTTGACAGTCATAGAGTTTTCTTCGAGATGACATAGTTCAAATTAGCAGGTCAAGCCTACTAGGAAAACTGTCCAGGTGTGTCTTTCTATGGCTACCTTTGGGCCTAAGTCTGGGAGAACAGGTGGAATTGGGTTTGGTGGGCAATAGATGCTTATCATTCTCCAGTTAGGACTTTGGGAATTGTTCAGTTATTCAACCATTTCTAGGAACTGCATCAAAAAAGGTCATTAATGGCATACTAGGGAAAGCAAAAGGTGGGTCTTTTGGTTGTTTTCCTGGTTGTCTCTACATAAGGAAACATGCTTGAAAGGTCAAGCTGAGGTGATGTTCCCCTGGCAGGAAGAAAGTGTCATGAGGAAGGGTTACCTTCTTACAGGCCGTGATGGAGCCAGCCAGGCTGTCTGCTGCGCTGCTGCTGCTCTGCTGTGGCTCTGAGACTTCATGCATCAGGGGTGACTCCACGTTGCTGCGTGTGCCGCAAACACAAAAGACAGGGAAGACAGTCCAGTGAGTCATCTCTCTACTTAGAAATGCAGAGGGAATCAGGCATGGCGTGACACCAAACCCACCTGTCCTGACTGCACTCAGAACTCCCAGTCCTGCTCAAACTGGCCTTTCCTTGTTCGGCTCACTTTGTGAACTGGAAATATGATGGGCAGTCAGATTATGAACAGAAAGCTGCAAGCCATTGCTTCCCACAGTACTTAAATGGGACACAGTCCCATCTGTCTGACTATTAACAACACTAGCCACTTTTCTTAAGCAGTTTTTAAAACCAAATAAAGCCTTCTCACTTGTCACATTAATTCAGGTCTGCCCAACCAATGCATCATAAAACACTCATCTCAGTTTTTCAAAATGAAGGTAAAAAGTAATTTAAACCAGGAGTATAGCATCCTCTGACACCAGAAAAAAAAAGATGAGCTCATCAAGGGGCCCGTTACCCCCTTACCATCTCTATGGTGGTAGAGTGTCCCTCTGCGTTTCTGTTTCCAAAATTTGGAGGGCTTTTCTACATCTGTATCAAGCCTTTCTGTGTTTTGTCTGTGTTCAGAGCTCCACAAATATTTTTAAAGATTTAGAATTATTGCTGTATTTTTAAGAAGTGATAAATTGAAGGCTTTATTTTTTTTTCAAAATTTGCTTTTCATTGAAGTTGAAAATCAAGGTCCCTATAAATGCTAAAAAGTCCTGTGAATTTTTATACACATTTCTAAATATTATTTTCCTCCTGAAAATATGACAAGTTGGAATCTGAAGACATCCTCATGTCTTAAGTCATGTGCTTGACCATGACTGTTGGCCATTACATATGCACAATTTATTAAAGAGTTTCTTTTGAAACATTATCTAATGACTTCATATGATTTCTGAGACGTAGATAGCTTTTTTTAAAAAACAGTTTAATCAGTTCAACAAACAGCATGGTCCTAATAGTATCCTACTCTTGAGCTTCGGATTACAGGTTAGTTTTGTGAGATCAGGGTATGACTGTAATCTGTGGGCCTTCCAAAAATTGCAGTAAATGATGGTGTTTGGGGACACATCATAGGACCTAGAAAAGTTTCTATAGAGTTCAAACTTCCCATATACTACTTTCTGAGTACTTGATGCCCTGAGGACAACAAAGTCAATATAAGGAAAGGGAAATACCCATTTTTTTTTCTTGCTTAAGGAAGGGGGAAAAAAAAGAAAATAAATAGTCACGGAAGAAACAAGGGTAATATGGAGGAATATAGTAAAAATAAATGCAAAGGAGGAATAATAGGTTAATATAGATTAAATTGTTAACACGTGATAGACAAGACCAAAACCTAGTTAATCTTGCCCCACAATTACTGGTTTGTTATTGCAGAAAATAATGCATTATTCTTTTTAAGAGTCACTCAAGTCCTGTGGGCAGAAATTCAGGAAGAAACCTCTGTCTCCTGTTGCTATTGTACCCACAATTGGCTTGGTGAGCTAGCAGATCCCTTGTAACTTGTACCAACCATTAGGACTTAGGTGCAGGAAAGTGCAGGAAAGTGATAGGAAAGTGAAGCGTGCAATTGAAGCCTTGAAACTTAGAGCTGCCCACCCGGGGTGTAATACTGGGTTGTAGAAAGCCTGGCATAGTGCTCAGAAGCTTTAGATTGTTCACGTATCTATTAAAAGGAAGAAATAGAAACTCTGCCCATAAATTTCTTGGTAATTGTGTGTCTCCTTTTTGACACACTAGTTGGATATAAAGATGCACACAGGAATTGAAGTTTTGTTACTTGTCTACAAGGCTCATTCCATTTGCCCAGTTAGGACTATAGAAGCAATAAATAACTATGTACATGCATATATATTTAGTTACTGCTGTGAGAATTAAATGAGGAACTAGAATGGCATCATAGGTATAAAGTCAGTGTAGTGAGTGCACTACATAATGGCAAGCATTATGTAACTTCACCACACCAAAATTAAAAGCGGATATAACCCCTCCTCTCCCGAATCACCAAAGACAGGGCTTTGATGATATCTAATATCTACCACAAAATATAGAAAGGTCTGCCTTGTAAAACCATGTTATATCGGCGTGGATTTCCAGCAGGTGACTTTGCAGTTGGCTCCATCTGTTCCATGGCCTTTGTGTTAGAGAGGAGAAAGTTGAGTCTTTGGAAAGATTCTGGTTTTAGTCTCTATGGGGGTAAGACTTTGGCTACTGCAGGATAAGGCAAGATGGTGGTGGACCTGGAGCTCAAACATGTATGAATATGAGCTCAAGTTGACACAAAAAGAATTGCTGTGAAGACACGCATTACCATACTCTGAGTTTTTCTGAGGGGGAAGCCTATAAATCCTTTCCTGGGATTTCTTCCTTTGATTTTGACAAGTGTTGGCAATATTTATTCAGGCTATCCTTTCAAGCCAGTTTTTATGTGGAAGCTACAAAATCTGTTTCAATGAGAAGGAAGATAAAGTGGGACAGAAAATACAAATGCAAAACATGATGTAAAGTAGTGATGTAAAGCTCGTCTTCTATCAAGCAACATTCTTTACAGTAAAATAAAATGTCACTCGTGAGCAAAAGAAGTGTTCGGGGGCAACTGCACTGCCTCTGTCACTGACTCATGCAGGATGAAGGAGTAGGCCAGCATTTAGGGTCCCATGATTTCCTCAGAGACAAGTATTCCACCTGTAGCCTTTTCTATGTACCCCTACTGAGAACTTGTTCCAGAAACCAGCACCAGTTGAATGGATCTGGATCTCATTAGAAAACAGGGAATCTGGGTTCTTCCTTATAAGTATTGAACGAAAAAAAAAAAAAGGCATTAAAGCCAACTGGCTTCCATGTGCGCTAATGTCTGAAAAGAACTTGTCTCTCATGGTAAGTGATGCACATTCTAATCTGCTATCATCTTTTGTACATGATGTTTTACATTCAGGAACACTCTAATTTTCCTCCTCTTAATAATTCTTCCTGTATCAATTGTTTCTCGGTTTATAAATGACTTCAGGTTCCTCCCTCCTCCCTTCTCCCCACTGTGGAGACCACAATCCTCTTCAACATCCTTCCAAATCCCCATGGGCACACAGACACATTGACACTCCTTACTCTTCCCTCCTCTGTCTACGAAGTGAAATACTCACTGTCCTCTGGGTCCCAGGAGCATCTCTAGCCACATCTGCTTCAGCCCTTCCCAAGAAGGCCAATTTGTGTCTAGTATTTCTCTGCCTCTCCTTTTACAACAGGAGTTTTTAAAGAGCAGTAACCGCAGAGGACCCAGAACAATGCTAGATGGCAAGCAATTGCTGAGGTCATTTGTTCCCATCATTCTGGGAAATCAGTTAACCTCAAAAGATTAGACACAAACATGTGTTTGCATTCACTGTTTAATTTTCGGCAGCAGTGACAGATGGTAGGATAAGCCCTATCTGAGAAGATAATTTAAAGTGTTTCCCAGGATAGTGCTAAGGAAAAAAAAAAAAAAAAGACCCCACTGTTATTGTTGCTAAACACTTGCAGTAGATTGTGAAAAATAAAATTTGCTCTTGAGCTCTCTCCATTTAGAGGACGCTTTTTGGAAAATGTAATTATCATTTGCTGTCTGGTTGTCTCAGCCCTTGTCAAGCTCTATACTAAATCCTCTCATCTCAACATTGGGAGAAAATTCTCAGATACATCTGAAGAGGTCTTGAGTGAGCAATTGAGATACTGTCATTAATGTCAACTTAAGAAAGTGCTATGATCGCTGTGGATTATTTAGAGGAATTTAAAATAAAATGTGTCTGCAAGGCTCAAAGTGAAAGATTGCTCTACTGAATGTCCTTAATTTATGTTCATCCAAAGGGATTCATTTACCTGCTAAATGTGCAGGTCAGGCATTCAGGTCAATCTTTTAAAAACAAATTCATACTCCAAATCACATGATGTGTTACCATCTCTAGCTCTTATCTCCTGAGCCATCTCTTGACTAAGTCTTGGTTCTTGTCTTTGATAAAGTTTTAGTTTGACTTTTGTGAGCACCCTTTTCAGCTATGCCTGGACCTTGGTCTACTGAGTCTTAGATTAACAATAAACTTCCCTACCACAGTTAAGCAAGAAGCCTCCTACACTGCGTGTGAATGACCAACTTTCTCATCTCCTCACCCTCGTTGCTGTCCTTGCCCTGTCTTTAGCAAGGTCATTCAATACATTTTCACAGACCCCCTTAGCCTGGGTGTATCTTCCTACTACTTTCCTGTTCGGTGAGCCTTTCATCCTCACTCTTTTTTTTTTCATTCCCTCCCGACTAAGATGTAAACTTGCTATGGTGTGTACACAAGCGTATGTCTGTGTGGGTTATGTGCCTGTGAGAGCAGAGGCCTGAGAGGTCAGAAGGGGCATTGCATCCCCTGGAGTTGGAGTTGTAGACTGAGCTGTCAGAGCAGATGCTGGGTGCTAAACTCAGGTTCTCCGCAATAGCAGCAGAGCTGTAACCCGTAGAGTTGGGGCTCAAGCCTCAGGCATCTTCTCATTTTCAATTTAAAATTTATTTTCTCTGAGAGTTTAATACATGAATACTGATCAGACTTCTTAAATTTTGAAAGAAAACATAAAAATTAAAAAAAAGTTCTCACTTGAATACTACTAATTTGTAGTTTATATATACAACATAGATCCAAGCTAGAGGAAGGTGGTATTGAGAATTAACTCTCATCCTGACTCTTGTCTATCATTTTCCCCTTAGTATATTTAGTGATAAGTCCAGATCTGATGTCACTTGCACCTATTATAATGGCTTACATAAAATTTACTTTGCCAACTTTAATAGATTTCTGGCACAAAACCAAATCTATTTTACATGGCATTTTCTAGTTTTATATATAAGGCAAGATTTTACGTCCTTTTTATTTTAATTTTGTGCCCATATGTACGCCCTCCCCCGCCCCCCTGCTGCCCCACAGGGCATCCATGCAAAGTGAATTATTCATCAATTCAGCTCTGGCTGAAAGGCC